ATAAAATCTTCATACATCCAACTATCTTATTACCAGGTCTTTTTTGTTTTGTTTCAGGATAATTTATCCTCATTAGCCTAGAAGTGATTAATGTAAGATGATTAAGATTCATATCTGTCCAATATGTCTACTTCCGTATCAGTGGTAAAATATACACTAAAATCAGAACTTACTATGTAACGGTGGTTCATTTTATTACTTGACTCTCAAATACCGACTTGATTTATATATACTTTTCATTACCGGTGGGGGCCCACATATTGCATCAGATTGAGTAATTATCGTGTATTTGCCAGTCACAGTTCTCAGTGTGAAGAAGTAACCATACAAATTGATGAAATCACTCATATTCTATATATTTATTTGCTTGTTGAATTTTGTGCAAAGCTACTCGACGGCCATTTAGAAGCGATAGATTAGATGGAAGGCAGCTAGTGAACACCACCCATCGACCAACTCGTGGGATACTCTTTTACCAACAAAAAGTATGATTGGCAGTCGCATTATAACGCTCAACGGCTGAAAGGACGACCATTTTCGCTGACGGGATTCGAACCCTCGACTCGCAGATTGCGAGTCGAGTACCCTAATCACCAGGCCGTGACAGGTTCATTAACCACGTAAAATACATATGAAATCTGAGCAATAAATTTTGGGAGTAAATGGAAAGTTTATGGTTAAATATTTGTGCGAGATTCAGACGTTATTAGAAACTCTGTAACCAACAAAGTCATGGACCCACAAGCGATTTGTGTGTGAATAATTTAGAAAAGTGTGTGAAAAAAGCCGGTGAAGTATGGACCCCATCTTAATTTGAAGTTTAAGTTGCTTGTTAAGCAACAACGTATGGTAATCCATTGTTGCTTAGGCTTTTTATTTGTCGATTACGTAATTGTTGTCAAATTTCAGCTTAATTCACTGCTTGGTTGATTTAGCTAATGATTATTAATATCATTTTGTGTACTATCAAAAATTCAAACTTATTCGCATTAAATAAAACATTTAAATTTGGTTAATATTTACTTATTATTGGTTTATTGTTTACTGGTAATAATGTAAAAACAGCATTTTCGGGTACGCAGATTGAAGAAAGACACATTTTAAACTAGTTTTGATAATCTAGATCCGTGGCTCTCAACCTGTGGTCTCACAGACCTAACGATAAAGATGGAGCTTCCATATTTTAGTTAAAAAGAAGATACAAAACTATGTTCGTTTACATGAAAATAGTATTTTTTTCCAATTTCTTTACCTTATCTACCTATTTATAATAGTGACACTTTCATTCATTATAGGATCAGCTTATGCAAATAGACCTAGGTGAGTAAGGCTGGTCGCGACATTGCTTCGTGAAGGGGTCCATAGGGAAGATAGGTTGGGAATCATTTAGACCAGTAGTGCGCAAACTGTGGGGTTCGCGCCTTAAAGGGAGAGTTGGTGGGGCATGCAACTATTACCATAGAAGAGCCGCTCAATAATAAAATATGGTTAAATCAACGTTTTTATTCTTTAAGTTACGTCACATTTGGAAATGTGGACGATAGTGTTATTAATTCCTAACAATCTTAGTGTAGAATATCCTGCTTGAGAAATAAAATTTGGCATCAACATTATTCATGTCTGTTCTCCTGTCATTTAAAAAGTGAAAGTTGAAATTTGCCTGCGTGTGCAGCTTTTCAAACGGGAGACAGACGAACGTACGGACAGACACCACGGTTCACAATATATATATAAGATAGTCAAAAGTTAACTTATAGACACATTCTATTCTGACATTTTATTTATGGATATTTCTGAAGTTATATTGAAATAGCTTCTGTGTTTTCTGTTTATGTAGATAATATATTTACGATAGGAGGGAAGTTTGGTATGTTCCTCAAGTCTGTTATGGTATGTTCCTCAAGTCTGTTATGGTATGTTCCTCAAGTCTGTTATGGTATGTTCCTTAAGTCTGTTATTGTATGTTCCTCAAGTCTGTTATGGTATGTTCCTTAAGTCTGTTATGGTATGTTCCTAAAGTCTGTTATGGTATGTTCCTTAAGTCTGTAATGGTATGTTCCTAAAGTCTGTTATGGGTTGTTCCTAAAGTCTGTTATGGGTTGTTCCTTAAGTCTGTTATGGTATGTTCCTCAAGTCTGTTATGGTATGTTCCTTAAGTTTGTAATGGTATGTTCCTCAAGTCTGTAATGATATGTTCCTCAAGTCTGTTATGGTATGTTCCTCAAGTCTGTTATGGTATGTTCCTAAAGTCTGTTATGGTATGTTCCTCAAGTCTGTTATGGTATGTTCCTAAAGTCTGTTATGGGTTGTTCCTTAAGTCTGTTATGGTATGTTCCTCAAGTCTGTTATGGTATGTTCCTAAAGTCTGTTATGGGTTGTTCCTTAAGTCTGTTAGATTAATTAGGTGCAACTCACCGAATATGCAACTTCTCGCAGCCTATCTTTTGTTCACCCCTTCAGCCGTGGGGGCGTTATGATGTAACAATCAATCCCACTGTTCGTTGGTAAAAGAGTAGCCCAAGAGTTGGCGGTGGGTGATGATGACTAGCTGCCTCCCCTCTAGTCTTACACTGCTAAATTAGGGACGGCTAGTGCAGATAGCCGTCGTGTAGCTTTGTGCGAAATTCAAAACAAACAAACTTATTATTTTGTATTTTTAAATAATCCCAAAGTGTCTTAAATAGACTATTCTACGAAATATTTTATGAAGAGTACTATTTATTATGTGTATGTTTTTGAAAGTAATAACATCCACCATGACATCTATAAAAAATAACATAAAAGCTATCCGTCCTTTTTTTTTTTCATGTTTGGTGGGACAGGGATTCGAACCCGCGACCCCCAGATTGCGAGTCGAGCGCCCTAACCACCTGGCAAAATATTACCATAGCTGCAGAATGGGCTATCTGTGCTCTGCCCACCTCGGGTATCGAAAACCGGTTTCTAGCGTTGTAAGTCCGCAGACATGCCGCTGTGCCATTGGGGAGGCCAAAATAATAAGAATACTAAGAAAAATGTAGGAAGTTTTTGAATCAACGTAATAGTTTATAATTTAGTTTTGCACACACACAAACATAACAAATACCTATAGTTCAATGACCTCCTTAAAACGAATATCAAAATATCAAAGAAGTTGTTTGTTTATGATACTTGATTTCTTCTCTATTTATGTATCTAAAACAATGTTTAAAAACCTATCACAAATAACTATATATATATCACAATGTACCATACTTATGGTTTTATTCCTCTCATGGCCTCTTGGCATGGCCTGGGGGTTATGGTTCTAGATTCACAATCTGTAGATCACTGGTTCGAATCTCACCCTTTCAGCCGTGGAGGCGTTATAATGTGACGGTCAATTCCACTATTCAATATGTCTGCGGACTTACAATGCTAGAAACCGGGTTTCGATACCCGTGGTGGGCAGAGCACAGGATTTTTGTTCGTTTTGAATTTCGCGAAAAGCTAACCAAGGGCTGTATGCACTAGCCGTTCTTAATTTAGAGGTGATAGACTAGAGGGAAGGCAACTCTTGGGCTACGTTTTTACCAGTGAATAGTGGATTGTATGTTTATTTGTAATTAAGCACAAAGCTACACAATGGGCTATTACTTATATAAACCTGATTGCTTAGAATTGAAGTCGATTTATATTTAACTACTAGAATTACCCACCTTTCTTTTCGTGTTTTCAACAAATTTTGATACTTGGCTTAATCAATTTTACAAAAAGGTTTTTATTTCGTGTAAAGGAAGCAATTTGAAGAATAGGAAAAAAAAATCAAACCAAAGGGAGAATTTCTTCAAGTAATTAAAATTACTCATAAATCATTTCTGGAATAAATTTTTAGTGGTTTTAGTCTATTTTGTGATTATGGTGCCAGTATTCAGTCTGGATTAGTAAGCATTTTAGAACCATCCGAGAATGTCGCGTGAAAGGTTTTTATTTTTTTGTGTTTTTTTATCATTGTTTATAAACTGTTAATACTTATTACGTTCATGGGTGTTAACTGAAACTAAAAATGGCCTCGACCAGATTGGATTTACTAGTAACACTTACCTCACTTATTAGATAGCTTAAATCACGAAAACAGAAAGACTTGCGTGAAATATTTCTGTCACATGTCATAAAAAGAAACCAGGTGAAAATAATCGTAGTCGTCGTTAGATTTTACATCTGAGTTATAGCCGTACTTGATGACATTATTATCAGTCCATATCTTAATTCAACCCGATTTCCACTAGAAAAGTTTCATGATAACTGAAATCGTAAACGAATAACCGTGACCGACATGATAAGCGTTTGTGATCAAGAGAGAGCGAGAAAATGAAATGCTTATGAAGTAGTACACTAAACAGACACGTATTGAAATCAGAGATATATTTGGTCTCAATTTCATAAATTCGTGTATTTCTTCTTTCAATGAACAATCGGATTGCATGATTAATTTCGGCGACAGAATAGAAAGTCTGATTCCAGTTTTGTTACGTAAAATCTGATAAAAAAATAACGTAACTGACACATTGGAAATAGTGCGCCGTTAACGTTCAACAAACATATATGGTCTCGATGAAGAAAAAGTTATTGTGACCACTGTTTCTTGGCAACCTTTCAAGTTAAATTATAGATCATGTTTCATCACGTAATAACCTACCAGATATTAGTAGGATTCATTCTGAAGAACTGACTCTGATGGCTGAGATCTTAAGCTTGCACAAATTGAAATAGCTTTGTTTGCTCTCAAAGTAATTGCAAACTTTGATTATTAGACGATAAGACTGGATTATATTGATTTCGTTTAATAAAATAAATGGTTTTAAACGCGATTATTTTTTTTTATCTCCAGTTCATTTTGATATTATCAATTCGATTTCTTTGATGATAGAGCTTAAAACAAAATTAAAGATTTTTGTGTTTGTAGTGATATTATTTGAATGATTTGAGTTTGATTGAACAAAGTTATGAGTTTATTAACAACCGATTTCTTTGTTCTATAGTTTCTTGACCTCGTGAACCAGGACGAGGTGATTCAGCTGTTCCTCAGGAAGCGGAAGGTTACGGTCTTTGCTCCCACCAATGAGGCATTTGACAAGTTTCGCCAGTTTACAGCAGAAGAGGAAAGTAGACTGGCTACCTTTTATGTAGGTAAGTTATGACAGGATGTGTTCTGGGTACCTTTTATGTAGGTAAGTTATGACAGGATGTGATGCCAGAAAACATTACCAGACATCTGAATAAGAAACATTCAGAGCACTAAAAATATCAGTTTGTAGCGAGAAAACGCGCATAATGTTCTACAACTGTTCATTACGCTTTATTTACTGATAATATGACATGAAACTTGAGATAATATTTACCTAATATTTACTGTATTTATATTTATTTATTATTTTGTTGCTACGTAATAGTCAATCTATTTCATACTTATACAGGCTTCCCAAACTTGCATCTTACAACTCATCTGAGTAATCAGGCAATTTTTTTGGAACACGTGCTCCAGTAGGGAGGAGAGTATACTGTTCTAATATATTTCAGTGAAGTCTTATATTTTGCGTTTTGGTCTTGTTTATCCAAAAACATTTAATTAAAGTTTATTTATGTTTTGTCCCGCGACCCAGCGGGTGTTCGCGACACCATGGTTTGGAAATTGTTGACTTACCACCTTTCAAAACTGAATACCGAAGATTAAAAATAACTCAGTTAATTAATCGAGATTTTTGATATTAAAAAGTTATGTTTGGAAGTGACTCGCATAATTTATTTAAATTTAGTAACTTTTAGTGGTATTTCTCACTGCTGTTGGAATACGTCTTATACACGTAATTTGACAGTATATACTTCTAAAATTAACGTGTATTCAGTATATTTACAGTAAAAGTTATATTGAAGTGTTTTTTGTTATATTTTATATGGCTCGATTAAAATGTTTTCTTTATTATCATTATGTCTGATTAATTCATGTTAATTGAACAAAATCGTTATATTTATTCCAGTGAACTTGTTATTTAGCTTGTTATAACAACAACTGAAGAATGTAGATAATTGTAACACGTATTTCGGTTACTTAGAATCCGTAGTTTGATATTTTCCCATCAGTAATTTCTCTTTAGGCTAGAAAAATTTCATAGTAACTGCTTAAAACCACAGAAGTCTAACTAGTCAAAAGTCGAATACCAATAATCTAACGTTATTTTCTCTTCTTTGCCGCCCACTTCTGGTATCGAAACCTGGCTTTTAGTGTTATAAGTCTTCAGACTTACTGCTGAGACACTGGGGAGGTGTTATATTTTCTTAATTCTAGCCATTCCTTTAATACTCAATAAACTAAACTTTCAAATAGACTTCAATGCACATAATTAGTTTTTCTATAAAGTTGGTAAACATAAGTTTTCTGCTAAATAAATAACCATACCTTTGTTCCATATGGCATACTCCCTGATTTTAGGGGCACATTGAAAAAAAAAGCATAAAAAAATATAGGACTCGAGTGCTAGGAAGAGTATATCAGTTATATTTCAAGTCTGACTGACGACATGCGAGTTGAATAATGTCATGTTGCTGTTTTGCACATCGATAACTAATGTCCTGCCCTCCAGTGGCACAGCAGTACGTTTGCGGACTTACAACGCTAGAAACCGAGTTTCGATACCCGTCGTGGACAGAGCACGGATAGCCCATTGTGTAGCTTTGTGCCTAAGTTAAAAAAAATAAACTAATTTCCGGGAACAAAATGCAATGTGGCCTGTGAAAGCATTTATTTGAACATATATATATATGCGTCCTGCGTGGTCAAAACTATAACCTTTGATTTTTGTGCGTAGATTCTATTAAACTTAAAGTGATAAGAAAAAGATGGTTGATTTGGTGTTCTACCCATGTGGCGAGTCGAGAGTGGCAGAGCGATTAGTGTGCTGGACTGTGGATCTGCGAATATATCGAATAATATACGTCACTGTACATTAATGACATATATAAATACCTTCACTTTAAGAACAAGTTATACGAAATCAAACTTCAACCCTATCTTTTACTAAAAATTAATTTACTGGACTTCGTACTTTTATTGGGTAGTCCTTGATGATAAAACCCCCATAGGCGAGATCTGCTAGAAACAATACTTGCCATAATTACAAATTTATTAGGTAAATGTAGTGAAATTGCCATAATTATAAATTTATTAGGTAAACGTAGTGAAATTGCCATAATTACAAATTTATTAGGTAAACGTAGTGAAATTGATAAAATTAAACTGTCCAATCGTTATATAGATTTGAACCATAATTTGTGTTTGCCTTCAAGAACCATAAAAAAAGTGAAAAACATATAAAATATATTTGTTTTTTTTTGCCCCTTTGAGAGTAGTTTGTCATTTACAAAATTTCGCACACTGGGGTTATTCGCACACAGAAGATTTGAGTATGAGTGGGATTAGGGAAAATAAATGGAACATCGTAAAAGATGAAACCTGGTGTTTCATTGTTTGTTTGTCTGTTCTAGAACAAAGCCAATTTGGGCTATTTACTTTGTCCATCGCGGGGAATCGATTCCCGGATTTTAGCCTTGTAATTTCGTAGACTTACCGCTGTTCCACCGTGGCCAGAAAAGTTGGAAAATCCCGTCATTAATACAGAAACATATACTACGAATCCTACATAATTAAAACTAATTCGGTATTAAATCTAGTTGTACTAATTCGGAATCCTGATTGTAACATTTCGTTCAATAGACAAATTCCTGTTTACACGTCCCTTGGTGGATTAGAAGTAAGTTTATTGACTTGCACTGCCAAAATTCGGGGTACGATTCCACGCGGTGAAATCAGCGCAGATAGTCCATTGTGCAGCTTTGTGATAAAACACCTAACTTTTTTACACCGTGTTGGCAACTGAAGGTCTACATTTTGGAGTAGTCTGAGTAAAAACCAAACATAAGACGTACATAAAACTGTACTACTAAGCAAATAAAACTTACTAGTTTCTGCCAACGTACAATTAACATCTTAAAAAACTTTTTTTCAGAAAAATCCATTGTTGTGACACTTTAATTTGATTATTACTTTATTCGAGGGTTTTGCTTTGCTCTATAAAAATAATTAATAATCATTAATTGCTCTATAAAAATAATTAATAATCATTAATTGCTCTATAAAAATAATTAATAATTATTAATTGCTCTATAAAAATAATTAATAGTCATTAATTGCTCTATAAAAATAATTAATAATCATTAATTGCTCTATAAAAATAATTAATAATCATTAATTGCCCCATAAAAATAATTTTACTCATTAATATTTTAACTTTTAGTTTCGCATCTAAGGATGTTCAATTTGTAAATAATTAAACAGGTTTTTTTTTTCGTAAATTCTAAAGTTTTAATTCAACGTTGAAGTTGTTTATTCGTTAGGTATTTCCAGTAAACGTTCCCTCTAATCAGCCTAATCTATTCGGATTTTCAGTTAATTTTGTTGTCACAAAAGATATTTTTCCTGATGTTATCAACTCCAACAACCAGCAGAATGCCCCTTTGTATCTCACTACTTCAGATTCTGACGACAAAGAAGAGAAGGTAATCTTTTTTGTTTTTGTTGTTTTATTATCATGTTTCCATGTGTATTTAAGGAATTATTTCTAATTACATCACGTACGTTAATTGTTAATTATTACGTCCAACTGTAACTGTAAACTGTTTCTAATTTCTAAATTCAGGTTAAGTAGTTAGCACACAGGATCATCTACAAAAGTTGTAATGTTTTCAAAACGAGACCCAAAACTCGAGCGCTTTCGAATAGTTGACCATTCTTCTTCTGGGTCTCGTTCTGAATATATTCTAATTTCTAAAGATACTCAAAATGTCCATGGAACCGTACACTATATAGGATATGGTTGATTAGGTATTTTATACAAGAGTATATGCTGAAATAATAGCTCTGTTTGGTTATAGTATTCATTTCTTATTTGAAAGTTAAGAAGATTTAACACTAAGGCCAAACTGTTTTCATTGTAACGCTTGACTCAAGTTACGTCTTGGAGGTTTTTCAAACCTTTGTGACGAAAGGAAGATTTTTTTCTTTTGGGGATTTTGCCAGTGATCTTACAACTATTGTGAAGAGATTAGGGACAATGCCTTTAGGACTGAGTAAGCATTATGAATAATTTTTAGTTTATTACGAACATAACTAGATTATTTTGTATTATAAACATACTACTACAAGAGGAACTGGTTCTAAAAATGTAATGCTGCTAACAACAGCATATGTGCATAAATACACCTATATTTTAGGTCTGCTATATTTATAACTTTGTTGCATCTATTTAGTGATAGAAATGAAGACCATCGCATTAGAGATTGGAGCTCATCATAAGCGGTATCTTACTTTTTTCTAGTGCTTCTTCTATCACGTACAAACAATGATAACACAACTGGTAACAGCGACTTTAATAAAAAGACAGACAGAAAAGTAAGTAGATATATGTTGTTCAGGCTATACTGCTACAAATGGAAGACAATTTTTTATTGTCTTTTATTTGCTTCCAGGAGTATTTTGTCAATAACGCTAAGATAATTGAGGAACGGGAGTACAACATAAAAGACGGAAACCAAAAGCTACTAATTATCGACGAAGTCTTGGAACCTTATAGATCCAACACCAACTTACCACCTGACGCCTGGGAATTCCTCATCCAGCCACGTAAATACAACCTACAAGAAAACTTAGGGTTAGTATGAAGGTTCTATAAACTTTGTAATTAGAAAAACTCTTCTGAAAGGCTGTTATTCCCATACATTCCATTTATTTATCGTTCATTTGTATGTTTAACAAAAGTTTTAGAAAGAATTCATTTAAGAATGCTTACTGTTTATATTTAAAAGAAATATTTAGCCGAATTAAACTGATTTAATGCTTTTAAAGAATCACGCACAGATCCTAAGAAAAAAAAAACGTCCGATTTACACTGCTCAAGGCTGTGAACCATTTCACGGAACTGTCAAAAATGGCACCAAAATACTCGGTTATATAACTCAACAGCTAAAATTGTTTTATTTATCTGTAACTAGAAGACGTAGATCACATTCATTCGTCCTTAGTATCTCAATGTTTTTCTCACTAGACAATTATAATAGCCTTGAATGAAATCTATTGTTCTTCACACTAAGCAGTAGGGTTAACAGGGATGACATACAAGTTTCAGGCCAGTGAAAAAAATATTCTTGTTAGAACTCTGATGGGCTAAATTAGATTAAAATACCCATATCCTGTATTCTGGTATTCATTGAAGTTGCTGCTATCCGCCATATTAGTGTGACAACAAAAACTCACGAAAGGGAAAATAGTTTTCACTGTGCCCATGAAATGAAGATGAAGGATTTTTTGAAAGTTTTTAAAATATTGCAAGTATATTCCTTAATTAACGATATTCAAAATATTTAATTATTTAGCACTATTGTACTTTTATTGTAAACAAGAAACCTGTTGTGGTAGCGCAGGTTTTTATTTGTGGTCAGAAAGTGTTAATGTAAAAAAGTTAAATCAGATTTGAATTTTTAAGATGGTACATTCATCATAGCAATTAATCAATAATTGGTTGGGTGATTATTTCAAAGCAAAGCCATATTGGGCTATCTACTGTATCTACCGCGTGGAATCAAACCCAGATTTTAACGTTGTAAATCCGTAAACTTACCGCTGTCCCATCGGGGGATATCAATTATTGGACAAGGGTGTTATAGGGAAAAACACGAAATGTAACTTCAAGAAATGATTTGGCCAATACTTACGAAATACGGTGCTAAAATGAGGCAATGAAGAATAATAGTGAATTATTCGAAAGCGCTCGAGTTTTCGGTCTCGTTTGAAAATCATGAGGCAAGTTCAGTTATAATTATATTAAATAAATAACTACATTCGTACCAATATAAAAAAAGAATGGATACTTCTTATTAGTAGATAGTAAATGTACCAGAGAACGTGGAATTTGACTGAAAATCAACATGCCTATGTAATGTACACCAGTACAGCACCTGGAAAAGGGTTTTAAAATTTCCCGTTAAGAGCGCGCCACATTACAGAACAATAACCTAAATATTACAATTAAGATTATTTTAGAGCATTCAAAAATGAAATAAGGAACTAATGATAATGCATGTTACCATAATAATTTAATGCACAAGTATTACTGATACCTTGACTCATCAGTGTTTAGACAAAGTCATGAAAGCAGTATCGTTTTTTAAAAATATCTTTATTATTGTGCTTAAATTTTAAATTTTTTAACAAAAGTTAGTGTTGTTTTACTTTCAAGTTTTGTATATATATACAGCGTTTAATAACACCAGTTCTTTTTTTTAATTGCAGAGCTTTTGCATCACGCGTTCGATCGGAAGATGTGATCGAATTGTTTACTCGTGTTGGAAATCATACTTTTTTTCTGCCTGTAGGAGAAGGAAATGATATTGACAGCAAAGTAAGGGTTTCACTTTATGACAGAGATTGCAACATTCCAATTACTATCTGAATTTTGAAAGGTGGCTCTTTTCAAATTAAGCCAATGTATTTTGAAGTTAATCACCAGCAACTATTTGAAGTTTTTTTTTTACTTATGGACAACAAAGGTAAACCATCTCTAAAGTCTTAACTAAATACATAACGAAGTATTTTTGTACAAGATTCTGTTAATTTCTTCTTCTTCTTCTCAACTTTATTTTGTGGAATATGCCACAATTGATGGCATCAATTTCGGAAGTTCAAATAACTGTGAAAAATATTTTAACACTTTTGACACATCTTCGAGTTTAAATGTTTTGAGTGAAGAAATATTTTCAAATGGATTAGACTATGTAAACATTATAAAGGGATTAAGTGCTGTCATAATCTGTAAGAGATTAATATTTCTCTAGATGTAAGTACGTCTGTGTAAATATATACTCTTCAGTTAATCCTCTAGTGCACATGTTACAAAAATACGGTAGAAAAAATTACTTATTTGAATTTCGTACTTAAATAGGTCTATATTGCTCTATAGGTTATAGGTGAATATGTTATTTAGAAGGTAACATTGATCAAATTGAAGAACCAACAGAAACAATTCCATGGTCTACTTAAACCGTTTATCTGGAAGTAAGAGCATTTAACTACAAAATTGGAGCATTTGTATGTATGTTAAGCAATAAAGGTAGATTTGTTACCTGTATGTTACTGGGTTAATGAGTCCATAATTAAAGATTTTTTGTTAATATGCCAAAATCATTAACAGATATATATAAAGTAGTTAAATGATCAAAATACCCATATTTTCTAAATAATTGTCTTCGAATTTTCCTACAGGTTATTAAGGGACATATCATCCCCAAAATAGTGCTATTCACCCGAACTATGGGGATGAAACCATATCGAACAGATGCTTATGATCCCACGCAACTGAAAGTCGAATTATCATTGGTTAACCAAACAAACAGTCAAGGAAATGGTTATACGTGTAAGTTGCGTTTACTTTTTTGCATCAGTGTAATACATAAAGCGAGTTTTATCTACTTCATTCAATTTTATAGGAAGGATTTATATGATAAGGAAATAAATTATTTTGATAAAATATAAAGGTCTGATTGCCTAAATTTAAGCCACGAGAGTTTAAAAATATGACACAAAACGTTTCTGTTTTATCTTCATTAATAGTCAGTTTTCTATAAATTTTAGCTGGTTATGAATTAATTTCATCATATGTTTCACTACAATTAATGCCCACATAAATCAGTCCTGTAAATGATGGCTATAATTTCATTCCAAATTTATGGTTTCATTTAGAACAGACGTTTATCAGTTTAAACATTCTTGAACATCAAAATAGCCGTAAATATTAGGTAGTAAAGTAATGAACCATTGTTTATTAGTCTAATCATTCTTGAACATCAAAATAGCCATTAACATTAGGTAGTAAAGTAATGAACCATTGTTTATTAGTCTAAACATTCTTGAACATCAAAATAGCCGTAAATATTAGGTAGTAAAGTAATGAACCATTGTTTATTAGTCTAATCATTCTTGAACATCAAAACAACCGTGGACATTAGGTAGTAAAGTAGTAAACAATTGTTTATTAGTTTAAACATTCTAATTAATCACAAAGCTACACAATGGGCTATCTGTGCTCTGCCCACCACGGGTACCGGTTTCTAGCGTTGTAAGTCCGCAGACACACCGCTGTGCTACTGGGGGGCGCACATTGGGTCTTTGGATGCGTTAGAGGAGAGACGGTAAGATCCTACTATTCGGTCACATAAGAGTAGTTCAAGAGTTAACAGTGAGTGTTAGTATTATTGACTAGATGCCTTCCCTTTAGTCTATCAGATCAAAATTAGGGACGAATATCGCAGTTAGCCCTGTGAAATTTTATGCGAATATCCTGAACAAAAAACAAAAAAAACAAAATTGACTACCAGCGTTCTGTTATATCTAGAAAATATGTCTTAGATGACACATTATATTATTGATATCCTTATAAAATAATTCAACTTTCTTTACAAGATACCCCCTCCCAGCGGCTCATCGACAATTCAGTAGGCTCATAACTCTAACAACCAGGTTTCGATACCCGTGGTAGGCACAGCACAGAAAGCCCATTGTGTAGTTATGTGCTCATCAACAGCTACACAATAAGAAGCTAAAAATACCTAAAATCTCAATCTCATTTCTTTTTTTTTCGTATGAAAATCCCTAATCATGAAAAAACAGCTATTAAATGGCATTGCGTTTCCATGACGCTCGCTATGCAGGTATATTTTAGTGCTTATTTTATATTTTCAGTATCAGATTTCTAATACTCATATCCTCTTTCGTGAAATCTGGAGAAGAGCATTTCCTTTTGCCAGTACAAAGTGGTATCAAATTTCCACGAAATAAAGAACGCTGCTTGAAACTTTGTAGAATGGAAGGCAACTGCCTGTTGTAGAGGCGGAAGACTTTCGAAACGTCGTCCTCTACACTTGTGTCTCTACAATAGGCAGTTGCCTGTCCATTCTACAAAGTTTCAAGCAGCG